CGAAACACTTAAGTTATCATTTCTATAATCGAGAGACACTGTTGAATATTTTCGTCTGAATTTTCCATGTTGAATCCCGGAAATTCTGATCATGCCGAATTTCCACAAGTAATACCACGAGAGCTTCAAAATTATCGAGCAATTCCCGATAGGTTCGTTGCGAACAAACGAAGGAGTCAAGTTGTTCAGGTTAAAAAATCACGAGTGCGAAGCACGAGTGATTTTTCCTGAAAAACTTGACGGCTTCGTTTGTGTGCAGGGAACCTTGAGGGAATTACTCGATTAATTTTGAACCTCGAGTAATATTCGGGAGGGAATTTTCCCATCCAAATGTCGGTCAAAAGAATTGCACTATGAGACAAAATCCATCTGACAGTTCCAACCAGGGGTTTACTCGACCACGGAATCTTTTGTTTTCCACAAATATAGTCAACATGAAAAATTACCAGTTGAATTATCAAAAATTATCAGCTGAATACCGTGTTGACTATATGAAATAACAGTCGAATAGTGCAATTCTATTGGCTGACATTTGGATGAGGAAAATTCCCACTGAAATTTCAGAAAATCTTAGCATTGAAAAATCAAATATTCCATTGATTTTTTGTTCGAATGGTCTGAAAATCAATAAAATACTGGATTTTTCAGTTCAACTATTTCATGACAATTCGAAAAAACTGAAAAATTTAGAGGAAAATTAAAAATTCATGTTATTTTGTTTGTTAATTTTCATGTTCCATTGAAAATTCAATCAAGTTGTGAAATTTCCGTCTCAGTTCCACTGAAAACTTATGAATTTCCTTGAATTCTACGTATAAATCGAATTCAATGTCACTCTCATGAGAATCACTACAATATTTTTCATGAAATTTCGAAAAATTTCTAACAGGGCAAGGCCAAGTTTTGCACCAAACTGGCTGAGCGCTACCGTGTATCTATATACGAACTATCCCTTCCATTACCTCCCAATCATATCTACTAAATAAAATGCAAATGTGATAAGCTACATGAAAAATACTCTTATTTACATTATATAAATCGGCCACGAACTTCATATGCACGTTTTCGCAGTTCACATTATCACTGATCATTTTTTGTTACGGAGTTGATAGCAGTGCGATCCAACCACGAACCAAGGAGGGAGCCTGGGGATTTACAAATTGAATTTGGTGCATAAATGATAAATTCCGTGCCTAAATGAATTCTCGAAAGTTAGAGGAATGAAATTCAGAAGAACTTCCTGTTTCGTGAGCAGAAAATAACAAAAAATAATTCCATTCCATTTCGGAAAAAAGAAATAAAAGGTCAGGAGAATGACCATGTGGTAATTTAAAAAAAAATTATGCAATTCCTATAAAAAACGAAAACAAATGTTTTTGTAAAAAAACTGCGCCAAGGAATAGTATATTTCAGGGCGAGTGCCATGGGGTATTTTACTCGCGTGGAGTTGGTGTCCAAGCCGAAGGCGAGGACTGACCAACTCCACGCGAGTAAAAAACCCCATGGCACTAGTCGTGAACGATGTTTTTCCGTCGTGACTTTCACTTTTACCACTTCGGGGAAGGGTCAACACCAATCCCCGGACTGGGAAAAGTGAAGGTCAGTACGGAAACAGATTTATTTGGTTCTGACTGGCAAGTCGAAATGGTCGAAAAATACCAAGAAATAAATAAATTAAGTCAGAAATGTCAAATGAATGACCATAGGATACTCAGATGCCTGCAATAGTACATTACATGCCCGAGCCTTGGAAAACAGATCACCGTCCCCCACGTGCAAGATTGTCGAAGGCGAGGATGGCAAGCACGTGGGGGAGGGTGATATGTTTTCCATGATGAGGTGTGTATTAGTATTTTTCCTCGCCTACGGCTCGGAGGCCAACGCCACACGAGTAAAAAACCCCATCGCAACAGCCCAGGAACAATATTTTTCTGTAGTGATTTTCAAGTTTTCGAGTTTGGGAAGTATGTAATACCAATTTCCAGACGAGAAATCGTGAGAAGCAGTACAGAAAATTAATTTTCGTGTCGAGGGACCTGCAAAACGCCAATTTCATTTCGCCTGCAAAATGGGGTTTTTCAGGTCCCGTGACACGAAAAAAATATTTCTTAATTTAATAAGGATTGGAGAAAAATTCTCTATGAAATAAAAATTCAGTAGAAATAGGACAAACGTCGTTGGCACACTTCAGAAGACAAAGGATCAGATAGATACTCGACATGAGTAGAAAAACTCCGTGCCTCGGATGTTGGTCCTGCTTCTACTTGCTTTTATTATATTTCACAGAAAATTTCGTATTAAAAAAAAAAATGACTTTCCAGTAAGCACCAAACAAACATTTTCCTTGGCGCATTTTTTTTACAAAAGCATTTGTTTTTTAGGGACCAGTTTTAAGTTACATCAAGACAACTAATTGAAAAACAGGTTGAATTGATTCATTTGATCCGGAGAAATCGTTAAACAAAATCTCATTTACATACATACGTATGCACACACGCACAATCCCACAAACATGTTTTCAAAAGTGGTTCAGGATGTCTCTAGAGGTCATAAAACAGGCACAGACCATCGAAATTCAACATTTGATTTTCGGGGTCAAGTTTCGCAGGAGTACCCTCGTGCGAGCGCTTGAAATCTTTTTAACCTGAAAAACTTTACATATTCGTTAATTTGCGACGAAGTTGTCGGGAAATATCCGATCATTTTGATGCTTTTGAAGTATTACTGTTGGAAAAATCCATTGAGGTAATAATCTATTCGTGGAGTAACTTATATAGATTTCGTAATACAAATTCAGGAATTGATTATTTTTTTCGTTGATTATTATGGCAGAATGGATCGTTCGCCATCACCAAAACACAGAATAGTATATTACGCAACAAGTGCGTAATGAGTTTTTTGGCTCGTGGGCTCGCCTTCGGCTCGTTTTACAATCCCACGAGTCAAAAAACACCATTACGCACGAGTTTCGTATACTATTTTATGTCATAGGGCCCAGAATCCGCGATTCTACCGAGCGAAGCGAGGTTAGAATCGCGTGATTCTGGGCACCTATGACATAAAAACTTAAAAGTGTGAATCAACTCTTGATCAGCGTGTTCTACCCGATCTGTGCGATGTTCACTCTTTACTATCTGGAGGATGGAATAATCATGTTTGCACAGGTAGAGAAAAATATCCCTTTTTGGAGAAAATTCACACCAAAAAAATCCTACATTCGCGTTTTATTTTATACATTAGATTAAATACCCTCAAGGGCTAGAATACACTAAGCAAGAGTTGACTTACACACATCATCGTTTTTTATGCGCAATCACTCAAGTTTGGTAGAGTGAAATGAAACAAGTTCGGTGCTATTTTCAAGCTCATCCTTAGACCAAGCTCATCTGAATCTCATTGATTGGTGAAAAAAACTGAAAATTTTGAAAATTCAAAACAGCTCGTTTCGGTCCACTCCGCCAGTGTCTCAAACTTTCAATGACTTTATTTTCTTTGAAATATTGGATTTCGAACTCATAAAGCCATTTGGAGTCGATTGACGACACATAATCATGAGGCGTGATGCTTACAGTCATCGCAATTAAATCTTTCCAAAATCATCGGAAATAATACAGTAAATACGTCAAATCGACTCCATTTTGAATTTATAGTATCATTTTATAGAGTGAGTAGGCCCTTGACAGAATTGATATACCTCACGATGTGAGGCAAATTAGTTCCACTCGTTTCAACACTTCTTCGAAAATTACTCCTGTAATTCCCAATAAAAAACCTTGACATTTTCATGATGTTACCGACAAATTGCCATTTTCAGATCCATATAACAATAGAAATGGTTGAAGATTCTGACTGATTATTCAAAATATAATGGTGGATTTTCACAGTGAATTAGCGAATTCAACCTGTTATTCAAATATCAATTATTGCCAAGCATGGAAGAATAAATTTTGTTGAATTATCAAGATGAATAAGGAATTCCATGAACATTTTTTTGATCTTAATAAAGTAGCTCTACCCTTGCAATAAATTTGAAGATTTCTGAACATTGCAATGAATTTCCAAAAAACTCAATTAGATTCGGAATCGTAATTTTTTCTCAATTTAATTACTGTTTTAGTGTTTCAAAGAAAAAATAGTGAAAAGCCAGGATTCAATACTGCGGCTTATGTGAAAATCAACATTTGCATTGTAATTACACACTAAAGTCCGACTTTTTTCATTACATATGTGAAATTAAAAAAAATTTGCTACCTAAGAGAAAATGATCGACTGGTTTGCAAACGAATTGCATCATTTATTTTTAAGAATACGATGATTGAAAAAATATTCATATTTTTCAAAATATAATTTGAATAATACTTGGAGGGTATGATTTTTAAAAAATTTTCTTATGCAATATTGTTGGGAAATTCAAAAACTAAAATATCCAAATCTACACCCAAAAAAAAGTACTGATTCAAGTCGACGTCGGCTTGATTCTAACCGAATTTCGGCTTGATTAAGCCGCGTGACTCAGACTACGCTAATCCGAATTCGGGGACTAGTATAAGTCGAAAAATGGTTTATTTCAAGTAGAAACGTGTCAAGCCGACATCGGTCTGAATCAAGCCGAAAAATCGATCTCAATCAAACCGAAGAATCGACTTGAATTAAACTGAAAAATCGGTCTGAATCAAACCAAAACATCGACCTGAATCGAACCGAAAAATCGACCTGAATCAAAAAAATCTACCTGAGTCGAAAAATCGAGTTGAATCAGACCGATTTTCCGGTCTTCCGACTTGATTCAGACCGACTTGTTTTTAGGTGTGTAGTGCAACCCGTCCAATGGGTAGAGCTGCTTCAAATTGAATTCAAATTCACAATATGGAAAATTCAAATACAGCTATTACTCGAATTATTTTAAAAAAATCTAACCGTTAGTAATTTATTTGTTTTAGTATGTACGATTCCTCCTCCTCACTATCCTTTAGTTTATGAAATATTTGTGTCTATTCTAGGTTACGGGAGCGGTCTTTCCAAATCCGCCCTGGATACCCACTCACATCTCAGGCAGCCCGGTAAGTCAACCCCTCCCATCTTTCTTAGTTGAAGTAATGTGTTGTGACAGGAGAATAGAGGAATTCTATTGATGCATGAAGTAAATTCGCAACAGCTCGTCGATGGCTCGGGATTGACCCCTACGATTATACTGGTCGTTAACCACGCAACCCCCGTAGATAAGGGTACATATAGCCATATGTATTTCTTCGTATTGCACGAAATGTATTAATGTATATGTCGTCAGTAGTAGTGGTGATGGAATTCACTGCAACAGTCGACGAGAAAAATGGATATACGAAACTCCCCTCCGGATTTGGTACGACTCCTCCCAGTTCGTATTATTAACTCGTAAGTGAATTACAGTTCGATCGACAGTCGATCAACTCAGTTGGCAATGCACTGGGGAAAATGTTTCAAATGTAAAGCATTATTCCATTCAATACTTGTAATTAAACTTCTGATCATACAGAGATGTTTCATTCACTGATTTCAATATTTTAAACTTTTAACGATATAATACATCATTGTAAATAATAATTACTCATGTATTGCAATTGGAAATATAACCATTGTAATTATAATTGTATCATCAAGATTATACGACTTTTTAGTTAGCCATTTGAATTTTCATCAACTAGAGGAAACAGTATTTTGCGACCTGGTGACGAAGATTATTTGTTGTCACGACGCAATAGTAAACGGCTTGTTACCACGAATAGTGCGCGTGAAGCGAGGCTTGACGAACGGAGTAACAAAATAGTATTTTGCAATTAATGCAAGGAACAAAGTATTAATACTCATTCTTAAGGTACTTCCGCAGTAAGTATACTTGGTGAAAATTTCGAAATGGTATAAAGACGCAGGATTTGGATCATATGTTGTTGACCACATTAAAAAGATATTCCCAAAATTTCAAGTCCCTGGTCCACCCCATTTTTGAGATATGCATCGCCAAACATTCAATTTTTGTGTTTTTTCCATTTTTGACGATGTATATCTCGAAAATGGGGTGGACAAGGTACTTGAAATTTTGGGAATAGTTTTTGAATGTGCTCAACAACATATGATCCAAATATTGCGTCTTTATACCATTTCGAAATTTTCACCAAGTATACTTACTGCGGAAGTTCCTTAAGGCTGTTTCTATATTACAGTCCATTCATACACTGTTAGAAAAAAAATGAAATTTCATGGACAGTTGACTACTAATTTTCAGGAGAGTGACATTGAATGCGATTTAGGGGAACAAATCAGTAGCGAAGCGGTTATCCGGGCTAAGTCGATTGTGACTTTCGGTCAGTTTTTGATGAATATATCGGAATCCAAGAGAGATAGCAAAATTTTTCTCATAACTTTTTTTATAACCCTGAATTGGTTCCGCAAAAAAAGTTGTGATAAAAAATTTTCTATCTCTTTTAGATTCCGAGAAATTCGTCAAAAACTGATCAATAGTCAAAATCGACTTGACTCGGCTTACCGCTTCACTACTGAAATCAGGAAATTTCAGGTTTCACTGAAAATTCAGTAAAATTTCAGAATTTTAAGTAGCATAAAGATGAAAATTGCTTAATTTATTTCAATTTTCAATCTAATATTAATATTCAGTGCCAAATTACGTTGAATTTTCCGTGAAATCTGAAATTTCATGATTTTTTTTCCTCTAAATCGCATTGAGTGTCACTGTCCTGAAAATTCAAGAATATATTTATCAGAATTTTCTGGTTTTCTATTCAATTTCAGGGAAAAATGGAACTGAAACTTACAGTACTCTTTGATTGTTCCACGAAATTGTGAATTTTAAATGACGAAATTCCTTGAAATTTCAGTGATAATTAAATTCGATAAAAATGTCTGAAAAGGGTACCGGAAATTTCAGACAAAAACTTTCAACAGTGTAGTTCTCGGAGGTTGTTTCTCTCATAGTTCTCGGAAATTGCAATTCCCAATACACTGTGTTTGAAAAAACTAGGTCACTAGGGGACCACATTGAACCCCACTTTTTTCATGACATGTGTTCGAAATAATTCAATTACAAACAGACGAGACTTTTAATGATCACAATTGTTCCACCAAAACAATTCTATATTTTTCTTCGTTCCATCAGCAAAATTCTTGTTTTTCGTTACTATATTTTAAGGAGCTAGAGTTTTATTTCGGAAATTTGCATAGGAGCACATATTAATCTGTTGTATAATTTACTCGTCACCAAGGTTTCTAATGAGTTTGAAACTTTTACTAATTTTTTTCTAGCATGAAATCTATTAAATGCATTTTTTTATGTTTGTCACTATTTTTGGCGTGATAAAAAACTAGCCATATGGTCCTGACAGCACATTGTACTTCAATCGGTAACAACATCGGTTCGCCAATCTGAAGATTTTGCCTTCAAATTCCATCTACCCTGGCAGGAGAGGAAGAATGGGCCAGAATTAGTGGAGGATGGCCCAATGCTGGCCTAGTATCCGCCAACCTCGGCCAATCTTGGCCTATTTCTCATCTCTTACCAGAATAAACATGCATTTGTTGTTTCATTATAATGTCGTAAAAGAATTAGATATTCTATCATTTTCTTTCCTCTTCTTTCCTCTGGAATAAGTTCATGACATCCAGAGAAGTGATGCGTCTGAATTAAATAAAATTCAAATGCATCTTTATTAAAAAAATTTCAAGTTTTTCAACAATATCTTTGTTGGAAATCAATTCATTCTGTATTTCAACAAAAATGTTTCAATTATATGAAATTAAAACTTTATTAATTACAAGTATGTTCCCTATTATAATCAAATGAACGATATGAGCAATTCACCCAAAAAAAGTCGGACTGAACCAGACCGAAAAATCGGTCTGAATCAAGTCGGATTGAATCGTGCCGGAAATCGACTTGTTTCATGTTGAATTGACGACATGAATCAAGTCGGACTCGAACAGATGCAAACCAGAATATCGGTCTGATTCAAGTCGATTTTTCGACTTGATTCAGACCGACTTCGGTTTGATTCAGGTAGATTTTCCGGTTTGATTCAAACCGATGTCGGCTGGACCCGTTTCTACTTGAAACAAACCACTTTTCGACTTATATCAGACCCGGAATTCGGATTGGCCTAGTTCGAGTCACTCGGTCTGGATCAAGCCGAAAATCGGTTAGATCAAAACCGACGTCAAGTTGAATCAGTACTTTTTTTTAGGTGATTTCAGGTCAAATCCGAAACGAAAAAAAATTCATATTTCCGATTGCCTTCACGATTTTTTTTTCTAAGGAGGATATGAGACCAAACTCTCATAAAATTTTCACAACAATTCAATTATTTTTCAGTGAGGACGACCGTAATGGCTGGGTGAGTTAGGTGTTGCTCCAACGGACATCCGAGAGTCGCTGCGTTTAGCGCGGTTAGTACTTGGATGGGTGACCGCTTGGGAACACCCTCGCCCAAAAATTGCGGAAGGTAAGCACGGTGTAGTGGTCTAATGTGCCCCTCTGGTCAGTGTGACAGAAAGGCACATGAAGGCTCTGCATAATCGACCGGTTATACGACTGGGGTTTTCCATGGTCTCCCGTGCAGTCCTAGCCCGAATGGGGTACAGTAAGAATAAGACGGCCCATGGCAACGCTGATAAAAATCAGAAGAGAGAAGTGGGAGAAGCAAGACAGGCGAATGGGGAGCCTAAAAAACCGTATGGTAGTAGTACACGGAGAAAAAAATACACCATAATTTCGTGAGAGTCCCTCCAAAAATTAGTGTACTACTCACTAACGTTGAGACATAACCGGGGGTTATCAGAGAATTTGTATGTGGCACACTAAGTTTTACGGGCATCGCGTGAAGTACTGACGCAAGTCTCTCTAAAAATTGGGGTGCCACATACGAATTTTTCGATGACCCCCTGTTATGTCCCAGCGTTGGTGAGTAGCACACTAATTTTTGAAACATTTTTTTCTCAGTGTAGCACCCTTTCTGCCAAAATTCACGTTTTTTTAATTTTTCTAGCAAACTTATGATGGAATTGACGTGAAAAAATATAACGTTTTTGCGTTTTGTCATTATTTAATGACTGACGAAATTTTAAGGTGGTGCGAACATTTTCCTGCGTTTTCTCTAAACTTTTAAAAAGAATCACAAAACTGTAGAAAAAACGCATGAAAATTATCGCACCACTACGCAACTTCGTGAGCCATTAAAGAATGACAAACCACAAAATCGTTATATTTTTTCACGTCACTCCCATCGATAATTTGCCAGAAAAATAAAAACAACGTCGATTTTGGCTAAAAGGGTGTCGAACATCCTTAAAAACTAGTTCGTCAAAAAACCCTCCAAAATAACACGCGGCGGATAAGGCGGAGTTGTTTCGACGGCAGTTTTTTAGACGTGCTACCGGCAGTAGGAAAGAAAATATGAATAAAAAAAAATATTTTTCAGTGAGTCAGCTGGGTACGAAAAGTGAAACGGGCCAAGATTAGGCCGTACGGGGGGCTGCGCTGGCGATTGTGAATAGACCTTGACCGAAACTCAGCTAGCATTGGTTTGATAAAGTTGGGCCGATATTGGTTACCAAGCTTCAACCGATGATCGGTACTCGTAACCTACTCCGTACACATACGACCTTTTCTAAAGAAACCGATAACTGCTGATAATGATGAGTGGAAATTTGGACCCAGAATTCGATGCTGGAACATTCGGATTCCTCATCCGTGATGTTAACCGCTTATTTCCCTTATTTCCCTCAATTATGAGGCAGAATATGAAAATGATAAACAGCCTATTTATTAATAATCGATAAATAATCGGTTACAGTGTTCCCAATGATGCAAATGAGTGAATTTGTATCAATAGGAAAAAAAAATATTTTTTCGCGTAGATGATAAGTAGATATAGCGAGTGTTTCATTATTTTAGTTGTCCCCATCATTTAACCATTATGATAATTTGAGCCTTAAGGTCTGTTTGCATATTTGATATCATTTTTTTTACAATTATCACTGTATTACACGAACGAAATCATTGAAACTTGAATTTCTGTTTTCACACACTCGAAAATAATTGAATAAACTTCAAAATGAACGCAATTGAACTGAATTTACACTAGTTTTGGGGTCATTATCGTGACATGAATTTTTTTTCTTCAATTTGCAATCACTGGAAAACTTTTTTTTTTTTATCTGAAATTTTAGGGATAACTTGGGGACATAATCACCGATAGTTTCAGTAACGGACGATCATTTTTTTTGCAATCCTTCTTTAATAAACGAGTGATTATTTTTCTCTCTAAAAAGTCCTTTTCTGGGGCAATGCCTAAATGACAAAGAACAAATTTTATGAGTAGTATTTCAAAAAATGGTTCATTTCAAGCCATTCCCTACTTTCTGAGATACTCCATCATATACTAAAAGTCGCTCAGCCGCTATTGTCAACTGAAGATTTTCAGAGTACCCCTTAATGACATCCGTTTATGTCATTTACATTTTTCGAGCCTAATTTCCATTCATACTGATATTCATCACAAAGGATGAGCAGTAATAACAATCAATCCAATTTGTCGAGTTTTTCAACATATTTTTCCGATGAAATACAAAATTAAGCAATTAACAGAGAACGACTGTAAAAAGTAATTGTCCTTTGGTGGAAATATCGCCGAACATGTCACCAAGTTACACGTAAAATATTCAATTAAAAAAATTAAGTCTTCGAGTAATTGCAGATTGGAGAAAAAAATGGCTTTGCGATAACGGCTACACAACAGGAGTACATTCAGTTCAATTGAGTTCATTTTTAAGCTATTTTATTTACGTTCACGTATGAAAACAATGATTCAATTAAATTATTTCATTATTTTTTGAAACAATCAAAATTTGGGTGAGAAAAGTGAAAATTGTAGAAAAATCATAACTCACTGAAAAAAAAATCGAATCGCTCTGAAAATTTCATATGAGCTTGGTCTCATATACTCCTTTAAAAAATAGCGAATTCAACTAGAAACATTAAATTTTTTTCATTTCGAATTTAACGGAAAATTGCTCATATATTCGATTTAAATAAAGGATTATTAGAAGTTGATAGATTCAATCTCGTCGTCACACCCACAATCATTTCATTTCTGACTAATAAAGTCTGTATTCAGTTCAAGAAAAATTTGATGACATAGAAAAAGCTGTTTATTTGATATAAATGAAACCACAAGTGGAAATAGAGTTCAAGAATGAAGAAAAAATTTATAACGCACTATTGAAATAAATCCATGCATTTGATTCAAATAAAATACTCTAGATGTACAAATAAATATATAAAGGGAACTTTTAATTAAATTCAGCTTAACTTTCAATTCAATTACACATTTAAGAAATTTTTAGAAATTTTGAGAAGAAACTGCAGTCCAGTAAAAATTTATTGCCAGTAATAAATTCTTCATGGCGAATAATTCCAAACAATTCCGTAACAATCAACAATTTTTCCCTCTTATTTTCATTTAAACACCATTCTTCACGAAGGACCATTACAATTCCTTCCAGGAGTCCCGATACGATCAGCCTGGACACTCGGGTAAAAGGGCAAAAGTTATGTCACGGTTTCCGTGACTAATAGCAATTTTCAGCCTCCGAAGAAATTGAGTTGAAGTATTTCCCAGAAGTATCCATACTCATACACCATAAAGAACCCCAAGTGTGCGCTTAAAACTCGAAAGTCCTTCTCTCTAATACAGAAACAATGTAAAATTGAGTAGAATTGATTGCGATATGATTCTCTGTTTCAATTGAAATTATTATGATCCAAATGAACTCCTCTATTCCATTGTGGGGTTGCGATTATATCCTTTGTACGAAACGCTCTGTAGAGCCCTCGATGACTGAGCGGTAGTAAGCGGCACTGATGACGCATTGTAAAGCTCTTCACGGTCCGTAAGGGGGTGGAAGGCGCGTGAGGCGTTGATGTGAGAGAAAAAAAAAAGTAGAAATACAAAAGATAGTAATTTCGTTTTTTTTCTGTTTTCTCATTTTTTTCAGATCCATATCAGATGTTTGGTGCAACCAGCAGTAGACTTGCGAGTTCTGGATCTGGACAGATACAACTCTGGCAATTTCTACTGGAGTTACTCTCAGACTCGAGTAATGCAGCGTGCATCACGTGGGAAGGAACGAACGGGGAATTTAAGCTGACAGATCCCGATGAAGTGGCGCGACGCTGGGGCGAGAGAAAATCTAAACCCAACATGAATTACGATAAGTTGTCAAGAGCCTTAAGGTGAGTGCTTAAAAACCTTAGAGACAAAGAGAGAATGAGGATGAAAATGAGAGAATGAATGGGAAAATGAATGGAATCGTCTTTTTTGCCGGATAATTTCTCCTGACTCATTTGAGACATAAACGGTCGGCGGACTATTGGGGTGGATGAGGGAGAGATTCCAATCACAGAACACCACTACACCTTTTCGGAAAATTGTTTGACCGTATTCGATGAATGTGGGAGGTGGAGGTGGGGGAACCGGTTTGCCGGCTATTATTTTTCGATCAATTTCCCCGATTGGATTACCCACCCGTCGTGCCTTCTATCAGTGTCGAGGCTCGGTCGATCTCTGTCATCAACTCTCATTCCCTGCTTCCCCTCATCAGTTTTGGGTTGAGGTCATATGGACTCATATTTCGTGTGTTGCTCTTTCTTATGATGGCTTTCGGTGACATGGGAACTTTTTAGAGGGCAGAATATTTCTGGCAATTCGAGGTGTGGGCTCAGTGACGAATTAAAGGCGGATGGAAGTTAATCGTAATTTGGTCGGAGCGTTGGATTCAGTGGAGAAGTGATTATTATAGAATTATCTCGATAATTAATGATTTTAGGGAAATTATTAAGGAACATTTTCGATGAGAAGTTATCGCACGTGTGAAAAAATTCAATAGAAAACGTGGCGAATTCGCTAGAAAATTTTATTGGAATTCTATAGGAATTCTATGGGGTTTCTATAGGATTTCTATCGGAATTCTGTTGAAAAATTCTACTTGTTTCCGCGTGGATTCGATTACCTATTTGATAGGAAAATTTCAATATATTTTGAATTTCTGTTCGAATTTCTCTCTTGAAATTTTTTCTAATAGAATTACTGGGCACAAATTTTCTATGTTTTTCGCACTGGATTTTGTTTTGTTTTGCATTACAGAATCTGAGTGGAAAAAAAGTTATATAATTGATGCCCAAGCATTCTTATAGAAAAAATCTCAAGAGACAAATTCAAAAAGAAATTTGAAATCGATTGACTTTTTCTTATTAAATATTCAATAGAATCAGCGCAAAGAACAAATAGACTTTTTCTATAAAATTCCAATAGAAATCCTTTGGAAACCTCATAGAATTCCTATAGAATTCCAATCGAATTTTTTAGTGAATTCGCTAAGTTTTCCATTTAATTTTTCCATACGTGCGGTTTCACGAAACGTCATTCTCTCCCAAAATCACTCCTTCCTGAGATAAATACACAAATATCAAATATTTTACTATTGATATGAAGTATTTTCACACTTTCATTACAGAGAAAAAAAAAGTTTCTAGTTCTAGAACCAATTTATTGATTTTACTAAACTCATGGTTTTAAAGGGAATTGTACTGACCATAAGAAATTGATTAGCCAATTTCATTAGAAAAACCCTAAAATTAGATACCAGAAACCTACTAATTTCAAGTGAAAAGAGTTCTTGAATCAAGAACAGTTGGGTTCTCAGATCAAGTCATGGACTAAGCACATTCGAAAGCAATCAAAGTCTATAATATTTGGGAATAATTGAGCAGTATTTCAAAATTGATTGAGTCATGATATCAGATTATATAAAGAGGATTTATTAAAATAAATAGATTAATTTTAGAATGGAAAAGAATCATCAATTCAAGAACGTGTGTTCTTAATTTGAGAACCCTGATTTTCTTGATGCATTAACTCAGAAGTTTTGATTTACAAATACACTCAGTACACCTTATTTGAGAGTCTCGAAACCATCCGAATAGAGAATCTGGACTCTGACTCCTGGGGAGGCCTTGTTCAACTCCAAAAATGAATCGTGAAATTCTGTAACTCCTCACTCTTCATATCATCGCTTTATACGGTGCCATCTCGCCATGCACACAATCTTATAAAAATTATCTTTAATTTCTCGATCCTCACCCAGCAAAATGAACACATAAACAGACGTTTCCTTTCTTCTTAGTACCAACTGTTAGGTTCGTAAAATGGAAATACTTCATTGAAGGACCCCGCGCAATGGTCAGTTGCCAGGTTCTTGGAACTTGCAACAAATTTCGTTGAAAATAAAATAAATAATATTGATAGATTGTAGTCTATAAAAGTCAAATACACTTAAAAAAATTAAAATTCATGGACAGTTGACCACTAATTTGCAGGAGAGTGACACTGAATGCGATTTAGGGGAATAAAAATTATGAAATTTCAGAATTTTAAGCAGCATAAAGACCAGGATTCCTTGATGTATTTGAATTTCCAATCTAATATGAATATTCAGTGGCAAATTACATTGAATTTTCAGTGAAATCTGAAAGTTCATAATTTTTTCCCCCTAAATCACATTCAGTGTCACTCTCCTGAGAATTTAAGAATATATTTACCGGAATTTTCTGATTTTCTATTCATTTTCCGGAAAAAATGGAACTGAAATTTACAGTTCTCTTTGATTTGTCCACGAAATTCCTTGAAACTTGAGTGGTAATTAAATTCGATAACAATTTGTAACAAGTGTACCCGAAATTTCAGACAAAAATTTCTAATAGTGTACAAAAAAATATCGTGTCGTAAAATTTGTTTAAATCTCTTCCTTTGTCAGAAATTTTACCAAGAATCTTTCAATTTGTTTTGAAGTTATCCTCTGCCTGAAGAATTCATACTCAAGGGTTGAAAATTCTCCTTTCAGATACTACTACGACAAAAACATAATGACTAAGGTGCACGGCAAGAGGTATGCGTACAAATTCGACTTCCAAGGTCTTGCCGCAGCCACTCAGCCAGCGGCTGCCGACCCAGCAGCATACAAGTATCAGAGTGAGCTCTTCATGTCTGGTTACGGTCACGCTAAGCTCAATTTAATGCCACCCCCAGCAGCATCAGTATCAGTATCAGTTCCGGGTGGGCTCTTCCAGTCAGCTTCAAGTTACTGGTCAAGTCCAGGAGCAAATCTCTACGCGGGACACCACACGGCATCGGGTCACGTGCCGCCGCATCTCGGCACTTATCCCCACTATGCATGACCCACCCCTGAGCATTGGGGCGCACTGGGCACACCGCGTTGAGCATACATTCGACATTGCATCTAGATACTCACCCATGCCATAAAAAAAAAACAGTGGAAAAACTGGGAAAATGTGTTTTATACCATTTGACATTAATTCTCATACAAATTTTGAACATTCGTTCATTACCAAAAGAGAAAACGTGGGAATTGGAGTTGAATGCACGGAGACAACTGCTAGGAGTTTATTAATCGTTCTCTGTGTCCTCGAGCAGTGCCATAATTGAATCGTGTGCCATAAAAACATGTTAAACATATTCAACACACAAATTTCACAGTCTCTGTTTCCCTCTCACCAAAGACAATATCTCCAGAAAGAAAAAGTGGAATGGAAATGACTCAAATAATTTAACAAGTGTTGATGGTTCTTTGAGGGAGCATTTGTATATAAATAATAATTATAACTGCTCCACATCATGGCGGTTTCTTTCCTGTTCTATTATACTTGATTTTCTCGTTCAAATGATCATAAATAATTATTTCACCGATTATAAATAATGTGTGTATCATAAACTCTGTACTGAATGTTCGTGCATGGCTCTCGTCGTAGGCAGTTTACGGTTTCCTCCAAAGACGTGAAAACGTTTCTGGAGAATAGAAATAATGTGGGACAATAACGCTCTGTTGTGTACCCTGAATTGTCACTGATTGTCCACAATTGTATCTCAAGATCCGGTGTGACAACCAGAGAGATTTCAGGTGTTGTCCTAACTGTCCTCTAGGAGTTTAATCCACAATCCTTCGTGGATTACAATAAGAAATAATTGTATATACTGTATGAGATGAGTATAATCCTAAGTTAACTATTTGGATTTTTATAAAAATGAAAAATTAAGTTGATTTGAGTCAGTGGAGCATGAACAAAAAATTAATACTCAGTTTCAATTGGTGATAATTGGAGGAACATTTGAATTATAAATAATGCGTGTATTATACGAGGTACTTTCAAATTAATTGTTATGTATTTATAGTGGAAAATTGAATGACAGAAGTTGTGGGGGTGAGGCTCGGAGAGATGTAAGTTGTACAATTCATTTGCTCAGCATTCAATGAATATTTGTATTATTTGATTGAAGAGGAGAATCGTAGTATCTTTAATATTGTTATTTTTTTCTTGAATATTTTATTATCGTTTCAATTTGTAATTACTTAGGTTCTTACAACAGAAAAGCATAAGTTTATGATCAAAAATTGAAGGCGCAAGGCAGATTTGTATATATAAAACCTTCTGCCTTGTTCTTTATCCCCCTCACCCCAGGCATAATCAAATGATAAAGAGTAAATTCGAAATGGTACCTCTGTCAACCAGCCCTAGACCTAAATAACGTAATGTATCATAATAAATGAAAATGATATTTAATATACTAAGAACATTCAAAAAGACATAAGATCGTAAAAATAGAACCGTACGACAGATAGATAGAGTGTTTTCATGTGTAGTTTATGCGAACATAGGATGGGCATCTAGTCTTAATAGTAAAGATAAATGATGAGAAGCGAACGAAATCGTGATCAACAGCAGAATTTAAACAAATGTTATTTTAATCAAAAGACAAAAATTAGGTGAATGAGACCTTCTTGAGATTTTTAAGAGTGAATAAATAAACTCTTGCGGAAGGAAACCATTGAAGAAAATCCTCTGAAAAAAGTGAATAAAAAACCGTTGTTTTCTGTGTTGTGCGCTTGTATTAAAGTCGCCATGTTTCTAATTAAACGAGCCGACGGGGTTGTATCAGTCGTCGGCAAAATCAATGTGCCCTCAAAGTGTGCTGCGCGTGTGTGTACAATTGAAAAGCTCTCGTATTCTTGTTTTATCCTAACTGGCGTTGAACAGCATTGAACGGGGTACTGTAATAGTTGGTGATGGTATTATATTCTGTGTTCAAAACCACGGTTAACGAAAAAAAAAATCTCACCCCCTCCTCACCCTCCGGAACGAAGAATGATAGGAACAGTAGTTGGGTAGTGGGATTGGATATGAGAGGTGGGAGTGAGAGAGAATGAGGGAGCGGGGCAGAAGGGAAGAGGTCAGTCTCGTCGGCGGTTGGCGAATTGGGTTGGGTTGCCATGGAGAAGAGGAGGCACCCAGCGGGTTGTTGTCGTGCATTGAGCAGGGCGGGACCCAGCGGGAAACCTCCATTCGGGAAATTCGCGGCCCCTGAGAATGCTTTAAGCCACCCCCGTTCCACTTGCCAACAACCGTATACCAGGCTAATCGATTCTGCTACCAATCAGGACACGAGTGCGCTGTTCCTTCCGCCCTCTCTATCTTGAGCTTTTTCCACCCTCTCTCTCACTCTTGCTCTCCCCTCCATTCTACCCCTCTTTCACTCAGTTCCTACTCCCCCTGAATCAAGCTGTTCGTGTCGTTTGTCTAATTTTTTTGAAATCTTCATTTCGGTGGTTTTTACCTTTTTCCAGAATTTTTAGTCAAAAATTAGCTGAATCTATTGTATTTGTCTTGGAGTTTGGAGGAACACGTGCTCAGGGAGATATATGTATCTATTTAACAGTCTTGTAAAGGACGGTTTCTGTGGAGAGCGAGGAATGATATGGAGCTTTTCGGATTTTCAATATCTTTGGTAGTGACAGAGAACATTGAAACAATTAATTCCATGTTCAGGTGAGTTTTTGATGATCATTTTTACCATTGGAATCTGAGCGAGTACAGTATCATGGCATTTATCAATTCAGTTAAAGAGACCATTGTCAAGCTATGAGGAAATAGGGGTGCGCAGGAGACTCAAACGAGACTACACTTTGGAGGAATCGTCTTGCTCTAAAACAACATGGAAATTTTTGAGATTGTCTCAATCTCGAAAGGCATAGGTGCTGCTTCCCCGTCTGACGACTCCAAGAAAATTTATCTCATCTCGTTCTCTCCTTTTCCGATCTTTAACGTCTCCGAGAACGAGACTGAAATCGAGACCAACCATAAAAAACCGGAAAAAATTAAGACTGTGACGAGACAAATTATGTCCAAGTAATGAGCAGAGGAAACGATAGTACGTCTTTTGAGACTGGGACAGTCCCAAAAATTTACATATTTTAGAGCGTGACAATCTCTTCAAAGTGAAGTCTCGTCTGGGTCTCGTGCACAGCCCTGGGAGGAACTGTGCGGTTATGATACCCCGAAAATTTCGTGGCAAACAAATGAAGGTGTCAAATTTCGCAGGCAAAAAATCCCGAGTGCGCTTCACGAAGCATTTTCCGCAAAACTTGACATAGGGGAGAGTAGGGCAAAACGAACCGGGAGGGAAAATTGGACCGCAGGGCAAAACGGACCACTGACAGAAAATTGGTAATTTTTGTTTTTTTTTTTCTTTCCTTCCAATCAGGAACACTGAATGTGTTGAATTAAAAATGAGTTCCTTGGATCGTAACCGTCATAGGAATTTTATAGACAAGAAGTGTCGTTGCACCGCAATTTGACCAGATTTGCTAATCACCTCAAACCACAAATGACTTTGAAAAACCAATATTTCCTAGGAATCTGTGTGTCTAAAGGCAAAACAGATATTTTTATATTTATTTCTTGTCTAAATAAGCAGCGTGACAGAAGCCATTTGACGGCTTACATATGATTGCTACTCTCCACGTATTTTTTTTTCTCCTATTTTCATTTCTACCAATTTCATTGGCTTCCTAATGGTTCCCAATCCTTGTTTTCGAAAAATAAAACCATATGTTCATGTTACATAACTTTCTCAGTTATCCTGATGTGAAAATGAAACGTGAAATATAGATGCGTCAATTTTTTTTCTCAAGAATTTTGGGTGAACTGTTCCATCTCAAGAACTATCAAATATATCGAGACCTAAAATTGGATATAGGAATGTTCCTTGACAATCCTAACTAGAAGCCAAATTTTCAAAAGGTTTCCCTGATTTTTACCAATACCATAGTGCGCAAAAGTGAATTCCGACCAAAAAATACAAAATCGACGATATCTCGAGAAATTTCAATGGGATGTCACGTTTCATGACATTTCTAGGCATTTTCACCCAAAATTAAAAAATCGAAAAAAATGATTACAAAACTTCTATTCGGAAGCAAAAACAAAACTTATCATTTTTTTGTCAGTGGTCCGCTTTGCCCTGCGTTCCGTTTTGCCCTACCCACCCCTACTCGTTTCTTTGTAGGACAGTTTGTGACACACATTTCAATTAATTTTGAAGCAGAGCGACTTATTCGGGGAAAAAATGTTTGATTGATCACGGACAAGTGAGGAGCTACTATGCTATATTTATAGATGAAATTTCCGCTAGCTGGTACCATTCTCGAAAAAATTATGCAGTAAATTAACAATGTTCTCTCAAATACAGTGCTGTAATTAGTCGAGATGTAGATTCAGAAAATAATCAATTTTGAAACGCTGGGGGTGTTACTACTGATATTTTGTTATTTTTAGGCGAGAAAATGTTCGGTTTCAAGAGTCCTGAAATTAACTTAAGAAATCAACTTGATAGGAGAATAATATTCAATTAGCCACTGGATAGTATTAAATATGGCGGGTGATTGCAAAAAAAAAACGATAAAACCGATATTCGACTTTAGAAAAGTTCTTTATGAGTTCCAAATTACAGAGACAAAAAGTTGCAGCTTTTGGGTATCTACACGGAAAGAAATTTTCTAGAAAAATTCTAGTACGAGTACTCGAAAAAATCACAATCCACCGGCTGTGAAAAATTCTAGTGCTGTTAAGGTAAAATTTCCTGGTAATTCTGGTAACATTTCGGGGGATTTCTGTGAAATTTTCACAAGAATACGGGGAAAAATTCACGGTTTTCCCAATAAAATTTCTAGTGCCGGCACTGGAATTTTTTTCTGGCCGTCACTTTGCGCCTCTTTTCCCGTGCTAGCACTAGAATTTTCATAAAAAATTTCTCTCCGTTTATTGCTACTTTTTAGGATCCACCTGCAGGGCCCCTGCAGTTAAGGGATTCCTAAAAATTGAAACTTTTCTCCCTCTGTGTTGATGGTTCGAGCTGAAAATTGAACACAATGCTCAGAGCACTTAGAACTTTCGATTTGTGTATGAGATAAAATCAAGCATTCATCTGATCAATGAACGGATTGTTACAACATTGTGTTCAATTTTTAGCTTAATCTGTCAATATAGCTACGCACATAGATATTTTTTTAAGTAGAACAAAAAAAAATTCTTCATTCTTTTCGAATATTCCCGCAACATTCAATGTTCTCTGAGAGATCATTTTACATTTTCCCAAATATATACACTGGTAAAAGAGACCCCACCAAGTTCATTTTTCAATTGCAGAACTTTTGAAACTCAGTCGCGTCCTCCCTTATGGAAAATCGAACTATCTCCGTACATATTTTCGTTGAATGAATCGATAACTCCAAAAATCATTCTTATAGAAATTTAGCCATGTTCACAACATTCCAAGATATTTGCTAGAAAATAATCTGCAAATGGAGTTATTTCGTTTTACTACTTCATGACTGATTCAAAATTTGAAGAGAAATTTTTCAAATGATTCTATCTTCTATCTACTTCTTCCAGTAGATTGGAAGATATTGGAAAATCTTGAAGAATACATTTTACCCCTTCCACGCCTACATCACCGAGATAGTATATTGTAATGTATGATGAGTGTACGAAGAAACCTTTTGGAAAACTGCTGAGCGGAATCCAATGAATTCTATTGCGAGAATGGTTATTTTAATTAATGTAGAAGTGCAATAGGCTGTTCACTAAAATAAATGAAATATGAAAAGTAAAATAAAATTGATGAGAAATTCTTGGCGGACAATAAAAATTGAATGATGGTATCGGGTTCTCGTTTTGCTGATTTACTTGAAAAATTATTCCTTGGTGAAGATGAGATGGAGACTTTCCCCTCAATCTCAAGGCAATTCGGATTCCTGGTTAAATGGAATGATCGAGTCACATTTGATAGTGAACTCTTCATTACCAGTCTATTTCCCCCACGACATTAATTTTAATCTATACGAGACTCAGAGACGTCCATGAGCCTCATGTAAGGATTGCTGTTTATAAGGTCCTTCTGGGTATCCCCTAATGTCATCCGCTGTCGACCGTATGGAAGTTGTCCAAGGAGAATAAATGGCAATGGGGGGATAAGAACTGAGCCGAGGGTTTGGAAAAAAGTTATCAAGTGCATTCACCAGAAACAAATTTATGTCAAGATGATATTCAGACATGGGAGAGGAGTCCTTCTCTGAGAGTTAATGCATCTTCATGTCAATGCTGAATTGCTATAAAAAATATCGTCGAGCGATTCACCAATGGAGACTTTGATGAGAAGTTTAATCATTTTGAAATAGTCTTCAGGAAACCTTGCTTATATCGTAAATTTAATGATGAGCCATGAAGTAGTATACTGTGTTACTAGTGCGTAAATTTCCCACTAAAGTTCCATTTTTCCGCCCCCACGTGTAAAACATCCTATTTTTGTGGTACCTGTCGAGTTCACTGTTCGGAACGGGAAAGCGACGTTTTACGCACGCTCGTGAATTTTCCGCACGCCGTGCGGCAAAAAATCGCTTTACGCACACTAAACCGTTTCGAAAAGTGCACTTTTGAGACAGGTATCACAACAAGATTTGTCTACCTTTTTTAGAATTCGGATAGTTTCAAAAATATAGGTAAAAAAGTTTTCGCAGAATTTTGAGGGTTACCTTTTGTGCGTGGAAATCAAATTACAATCGACGTGTCCTAGGAGAGAAGGCATGGCTGAGGGAAATGATTGAAAGCGATATACCTCAGATATATCTCAATGTTGTGGTCCAAAAAGAACAAACTCTATCCCTCCTACAATAAGTACTATCTAAGCTCAAATTTAACAAGTCGAAAATTTGATACCTGGTGATTTCATGATGCATCATTAGACAAAAATTTAAATTGGAAGGGTGCAGAGAAAATAATCGATTTTTAAGAAAATATCATTAATACCCAGTGATATGTCACTAATTTTTAGGAATTTATCACCAAACATTGGTGATTATGATGATTCTTGGACATCCCTTTTCCGAATTTTTACTGTCGCGCCCCCAGATCGTCTCCAAATAATAGTTAAAAAAATAAAAAAATTCGCTCGCTTCGCTGGCTCTTATTGGGGGGGGGGGGGGGGGGGGGGG